GGGTGGGGGCGGGGCTGGGGGGACGCGGGGCGGTGGGCTTAGCGTCGCCCGCCCCGCATCTCGGACATGCAGTGGGCGACTCTGAGGGTGCGTCCTCGGCCGAGCCAAGGCCAGCAGGCACCAGGCGCGGGCACGTACCGCACACCGCGGGTGCCCGCGCCGTCCTCCCCGCCCGGGACAGGAACGGGCCGCGTCCCGCACGCGATTATTAGTTAGCATTTTTTGCCCGGCAAAAGAACAGCGATGAAGTCACAGGTGTCCACCCTACCCCCGCCTGCGCCTGGCCACGAAGCGGGGACCGACGCGTCCCCCTCTTCACGCGCAGCCGCTGGGAATCTCCCACCCCAGTCCCGGATGTGTCTGGTCTGATCCGTTACCCGGGTCCCTCCCGGTGTAACCCTGTCCAGGCCGGAGGAACAGTGCTGATGCCTGTGTCTGCTCCTTCTCAGCTTCACCAGCCGCCCACGCCCCAGACCTCTCGCCCCCCGCCCGCGTGGGCTGAGATCTCAGCACCCTGGACAGAGACAGGGGCTCAGACCTCAGGGTGAAGGACAGAGCCCCGGCTTAGAAAGCTCCCAGTACCACGAACTCCACCCTTTAGACCTCAGGCGCCAGAAGCTGTTTGCTCAAAGTGGGCGGCACAGCCCTGCCTGTGCCTCAGAGAGACCCTAAGGCTCAGACGAACTGGAGGGGGCTGGGGAGCACCGCAGGGAAGTGACACTTCGGGGCTCAGCTAGGCCTGGGTCCAGGCACAATGAAGGAGGGGCTGGGGGGCAGTATGGGCCCCTGGCGGCTGAGGGGTGTGAGTGGAAGCCCCTGGCGTTCAAGCTGGGCGGGGAGGGCAGGTGGAGCCCAGCTCAGAGAGGCTAAGGTCCAAGCACCCAGAGGACCTGTGCGATGTCCCTTGAGAAGGGCAGCCGAGTGGGGATGCAGGAGACGGCGTGGCTGGAAATGGCCGTTGGGAAGGACCTCACAGACAGAAAGCTGAAGCCTCGGGCACAGAAGTTTATGCGAGGCTCTTGGAGCCAGCGTGCAGAGGCCAGGGAGGGAGCCACAGACAAAGGGACAGAGAACAAGCCAGAGGCCAGGAGAGCCAGCGTCACGCCAAGAAAGGAAGACGAGGCCAGGGAACCTGCCACCCTGGGAGGGGTGACTGAGGGGACTGGGCAGCTGCAAGCTGCAGGCTGCAGCCAGCTCTGGGACACGCACGAGGCATGCCACGCCGAGCTCGGAGGCACCCTTCCACGGGCCCCACGGGGACAGCTGTGCCAAAGTGTCTGCACCAACCAGGTAAGAGCAGGTGTGGGGGAAGGAGGGGCGCTGTGCCGCCCACCTGAGGGAGACCCCACAGGGAGGGACCTGGAGGCCCCTCCAGCAGGCCCGGCTCCTAAGCAGCCAGTGTGTCTGCGGACGGAGCCCAGGTCCCCACACCGCAGGCCAGAGGAGAAGTGACTGAGGAGCAGAGGGCTCGGCCAGCGTCCTCCGGAACTTCCCTAAGGAAACCGCAGGGTGACGAAATGGAGGATGTCCCAGAGAGCGGAGTGGGAAAGCGTGCACTGGACAGGACCTCCACCCTCACGCGTCCCCAAGGCTTTCTACTGAACTATGGAAAAAACTTACTTTGTCATATAAGAAATCGCAGGTGCCCTTCACCTAGGCACGTGGACAGAGCACAGGGACAGGCAGAGGCCGCCCTCCCCTGTGCTGACCTACGTAAGGCCTAGCTGTGGCTCCATGACCCAGGCCAGCAGACGTGTCTGCACGTGTCTGCCGTAGTCCCAGCGACCCCAGGAACCAGCCTGGGACGTCCACCGATACACCTGGCCTGTCTCCTCCGCCAGAGGTGTTGCTTCTTCAGTCGTCCGGGAATGTCCCCTATGGCCTCTCCTGATCCGATTCAGGTCCAGCTACAGATCAGATGTTGTGTCTGGGTGACCTGTCCGAGGCTGAGACATCCTGAGCTACTTTGCAAAGAGCCTCAGCATGGGATGAGGATCCTCCCCTCCGGTGTCCGGGGAACATACTGCTAGGTGCTGGGGTGCCGTCAGGGACCTCCGGTGGGATGAGTGTCTGTCCCCCCTCGGTGCTGCCGGGTCACTGGTGGGGCACAGCAGTGCGGGCGAGTTCTTGGTGGGGCAGGTGCGGGGTGCCCAGTGCCACATGTGTGCTACCTGTGGGCCACATTCTGCTCCTTCCCGTGCAGGGCCGGGAGGTCAGGGCCATGTGGCCACCTCACAAGTGGCCGGTCCACATCCTGCAGTGTGCTCTCCCCACCAGGTCGACCCTCGCTCCTACAGCGGCACTCCTGGGGAGCTCCCAGAGGTCGTGCGCTGGTTCTGGCGGGCCTGGCCGGGTGGGCGGGGCTGCTGCCCTCGGAGCGGGTGGGAGGCCCTGGGGCCCGGGGAAAGAGGGAGGGCTGGCAGGTGGCGAGGGCTGGTGTAGCTCTGCCCGGAGGAGCATGGCGTCGGGACAAGGAAGCGTCCCAGGGTTCTGTCCCCACCTCCTCCGTGTCCTCAGAAAATGAGGCCGTCTGAACAGAGGCCTCCAGGGGAGTCAGGACCTTCTCTCTGGGCCTCCGTGACAGAGCCCGCCTGCCTGGCAGCAGATTCCTGGAGGCTCAGGACGTGCCACTACCACAGTCCTGGAGCTCTGGGCAGGGACACCTGAGCTGCTGCCCGCTCCTAGAAGCTCACTTCACACCCCGGGGCAGAGAGGCGCTGAGCGCAGCCTTGAGACAGAGGAGACCTCAGAGGGACATCGCCGGGGCAGTGATGCAGAGCAGGCCAGGGGTCCCAGCTCGGCAGTGACGCAGGTGCTTGTGCAGCTAGCCTCCTGGGGCCAAGAGGCCCGGAGGTGGACACAGCGGCAGCAACGCTGGCAGGAGCCAGCAGCAAACGAGCCAGCACAGGCGCTGTCTTCCAGTGGCCTCTGGGCGGCAGGGTTCGGTTCCTCTTTTACCAATTAATGGGAACACACGCAGCTCCGTATTTGAGACGGCACATCTCCCAAGAGTGAGACTGGGCCCAGGGCCGGAACGAAACTGGCCAACGGTGACAGGCTCCTGGGAGCTCCCCAAGAGCGCAGCTGCAGGAGGATGGGGTGGCCTGGCGAGGAGAGAGCCCAGGCTGCTGCCACGCCCACCATGAGGTCACACAGGCCATGGCCAGTTTCCAAACATAGCCTCGGGACGTGGGGGAGAAGGGAAACGCATCCGCCTCCATGGAATGCAGCCCAGCCCAGAGCTACCAAACCGAGCCTCCGCACGCGGCTTGCAGACCCCGGACTGACCGCCATCGCCAGCAAAGCCCCCTCCCCAGCTGCCGAGGGGCCTTCACACATCCCCTGGCAGGAAGAAAACCACTTCTGCGTCCACGCACACTGCCCGCCTCACATAGGCCACGCCTGCGGCCAGGCCCAGATGCTCCGGCAACACAGGGCGTCCCGGTCACCTTGGGGATCTGAGCCTCACTCCCGTGATGGCATGCATTCTCCAGAAAGTTCCTTCGCCCAATGACCTTTCACTAACCACCACCGCGTGCAAGGCACGGGGCACGTGCAGTGAGGCCAGCACGCGTTGAGCAGCGGTGATCACTCGGACCATGGGCTGGAGCGGCGGACAGAGCTAGCTCTGGGTCCATTTTCTGCCTTGCAGGTTTTCTTGGCTCAGTGGGGTGAACTGTCACCTGTGGACCTAGGGAAACTACGGTGGCCACGTCGGGCAGCTGGGACGGGCTAACCCCTCCCAAGGGGTGATGCCTCTGAAGCCGCTGCACGCTAAGGCTGAGCTGAGTGAATGGCAGGCCACGCAGGAAACGCTGCCACCCCGTGCCACAGGCGCATGTGACATTGTGGACACGCTGCCAGGAGCTGAGCGCAAGTGCCATCAGGTCACGAGAATCAGGAATAGCCTCCTCGGAGACAGAGGCCGAACGCGGGCACCGGACGGTGCTGGACGCCCTGAGACCCAGGAGAGCAGTGTGCAAGCACGCTGGTCACCTGTCACTCCTGCCGCACGCCAGCCCCGTAAGTTAGCCAGCTTCCGAGCCGTCTGCTCAAGAACGTGCCACGTGTGAACAGGTGTCCCCCCGTCCTCAAACCTCTTAACACTAAGGTAACGGCGTGGTAAGATCGAGACGCCCAGTCGGCCTCCTAAGGATGAGCTGCGAAGTGCCTGTGACACTCGGGGTGAGCAGACTTGGCGATTCCGTCTCGCCCACAACGAGCACGTGTCCTTCCTGTCCCAGCGCGTGTCCTTCCTGTTCTGGGTGGCTACCACCTCTGATGGCTCTGCGTCCGAGATGTGATTCATGCACCGAGGAGCGCACGCTGCTGATGTGTCCTTCGGCGGCTGCAGCAGAGCTGTGTGGCCACCACTGCATGTGACTGCAGGACATTTTCATCGTCTCCAAAAGCAGCGTCCCGCCCACTGGCGGTCAGCCCCTGGGCACCTGGCACCTCTGGTCTGTGACCCGTTCCGCGCATGCTCACTGGGGCGGAGCTGCGCGGTGTGCTGCGGGGCGTCCGGCCACGTGCCCTGAGTGCGGCCTCTTGTCCCACCCCCGCTGCGGCGAGCCAGGCTTCCCTGCTTCCTACGGCGCGGACGGCTCCGCCGCCTGGCGGGCCCCATCCCGGCCAGCCGTCCACCGCTGGCGGGCCCTGGCTTTTCCCACCGTCGCATGGTGGCTCCATGCTTCACGACCGAGGAGCCGCTGGACTGTGCTCCCAGGAGGCTGATCGCATCCCCGACACCGAAGATGCGTCACTACGAACGGCAGCGTTTGAAGCGCGACTCGGAGCTCTGCTTCCTGTTTCAGTGCCAGCGATGCTCCTCCTTCCTGCTCCTTCCTGCCGAACATGGGCCTGGGCCCGACGCTCAAGACTGGAGGTCGGGGACCGCTGGGCATGGGCCTGAGCGAGCTCTCTGGGGACGACGCTATCCCACGGGCGTGCGCATGTCACCAGTGCCAGGTGACGCAGAAACGTGCTTCAGGGGCTTGGGCGGCCACAAAGCTGGGACTTTCTGACGTGGTCGCTTTAAGAAGGTGACGCCTTGAGGAACTCAGGAGAAACGTGTCGACCAGGTGGTTAACACAGCGATACTGACGCTTCTGTGCACCGCCCGTTCCGCATGCCGCCAGCCGACCAGGCACGCGGGGACCAGCCACGCCGCCAGCCGACCGGGCACACAGGGACTGGCCCGGCTTCTCACAGTAACTGATAGAAACAGGATGCAAGATCTGATGCAGTTGACATTGTATCTGGCAGAATTCAGTAATGAAAGCCTCCTTTAGACTAATTCTATTATTTGGTGATTTTAGACTACCAAAGGCTATATACCTGAACTGTATTCTTTAAACTTAATTAAATCACATTTTTAGATCTCATATTTGACTTTTTTTAAGTTTGTCACTAGAAACAGGCACCCACCTTGCTCAGGTGCAGCTGCGGCGGCTGGAACGGCTGCTGGAAATGCTGCTTGTGCTTCTCCAGGAACTGCTGGTGCTGCTGCTGGACCACCAGCTGCTGCAGCGCCTGCGCGCTCTGGGGCAGCGGGGCCGACTGCGTGCGCCCCAGCGGCCGGTGCTGCCGCAGCTTGTGCACGGTCGGCGACACGCGGTCCGCGCCCACCAGGGGCTGCGCGTGCAGGGGCAGCGCTCCCAGGCCTGAAAGACACCAGTCTGAAGGTAACGCGGAGGCGACAGCAGAGGGCAAGGGGAGAGGGTAAGGGGCTGGTGAGCGACGGCCGAGGCTCCGTGAGCTGCAGCCGCCCGCCCGGTGCCTCCTCCCAGACATCCGCCGGGGCGTGGTCCGCGCATAGCACGTGCCACGAGCTCGGGCTTCGGGGAGAAGAGGCTGTCACCTGGAGGCCGCTGTCTACAGACCCAGGTCAACGCCACGGTGGCTGTTCTGTGACAGGCCTCGGAGCGGCTCGCCCTGCCCAACTGTGTCCCCGGCACGGCCGCCCCTCGGGGGGCCCAGGCCCAGGAACGTTTCATCCGACAGCTCCGTGGGCGGCAGGAGCGGTACATGCCAGACTGAGGGAAGCCGCTGTGGTCCCGGGGGCCTTGACACAGCTCCCCCTCACTGTCACAGAGACTAACGCCGACCGCCAACCGAGCAACTCCTCGGGGATAAATTCGCTTTAAGGGTCTCTTAAAGCAAAGACTTTACGCACCAAGAGAAGACTTACACTTAAAAATCCTGATGGAAACAGCCAGAATCTCTTTCTACAAGTTTGCAGAGGTTCTGCCCCCTTCCGGGCCCACAGCTGCACGGGGGTGGCCGCCCCCACACCCGGGGAGGGAGCCGACAGGCGGCGTGGTGTCCCAACCTGCATCTGAACCGGGGCGAACGCGCCCCCCCCGCCCCCGTGCACTCGGGGGCTTGTAAGCTTCCGCTCGGGCGCCTTCCACTAGCTATTTTTTTTTTTGCAAGTTGGTTTCGGCAGCCGACCATTTTCCGTGATTCTATAGGTGGCAGGGCCTCACAGCCCCGCCCGGCCGCCTGAGGTGGAGCGACGCCACGAGGCTGGAAGCCACCCGGGCCAGGCGTGTGTGGGGAGAAAGGACGCATGGGCGGAGCATCTAGTGCTCGCTGCCCCATCGTGCCCAGAGGCTGGAGTGACCAGCAGGGCTGCCTCCCGTCTCCCAGGCCTCCTCCTACACATCTGCCTGCCGTAACCGCCGCAGGTGTCGGCCGTGCGGGCCCTCCACCGGGAAGCCCTCCCTGGAGGCCCTGCCCGCGCCGGCCTCCCACACGAGCCCAAGTACAGAGCGGAGGGGGCCGTGTCGCGGGTGGCCCCCGTAGGCATGCAGAGAACAAGCGCCACACAGGCTGGCCGTGTGACACGCAGGGCCAGGGGTCTGTGGAGAGCTGCGGAGGTGGCCTGGGGCCCCACACCCCTTCCTTTCCTCCAGGGACCGCTGCCCGGTGGCCACGCCCACCCTGGCCGGTACCTCACTCCCCTCCAGACCACGCTAGGCGATGGCTCCCTCATGAGCAGGCCACGCTGTGTGCCGCGTCCCCACCTGGGCTGCTGATGATCGAGATCAGCCGAGTCAGAAGCCTGAGCAAGAGGCTTCTGACGCGGTGCCCGCTGCCCTGCAGCCTGGCCCGTCCCCAACCCAACAGCTGCTCCTCTGCAGGGGTGGCTCCCAGAGCATGGGAGCAGAGCTGCTCCGGCCTGGTCTGGCTGTCTGCCATCACGACCGTCAGCAAGGACGTGGCTCTGCAGGCCGCCCGCTCGTGGAAACACGAATAAAGTGACAAAAACAAATCCGCGGTGACACGAGCCACTGCAGAAACCCCAGCTGCCGCTCGGTTGAGTGCAGGAACGTTCACCACGCCCTGAACGCCCATCGGGGCCGTGGGTGCGGGGAGGGGGTGGCAGAGATGCAGGACGCAGGGGCCGGGCTCCAAGACAGAGCACGCCAGGTAGGAGAAGCTGAGGCAGAATGCGCCGCAGCAGGCGAGGGCAGAGCACCCAGGAGCAGAGGACGGGGACGTGGGGACGTGGGGACGAGGGGCACGTGAGCTGGCCTGATGGAGACGAAGGGCTTTGAGAGAGGAGCAATGGCTTCTAGAAGCCGCCCTCAGTGGCCCGGGGGTGAGGAGGAAGCTGGCGCACACGGCCAGCTGTGTGGGAGCCGGGGCCAGCAGGGGGCACGCACGCCAGGCTGGCCCGGACGACGGAGCTTTCAGTGCCACGGGGACAGCCCAGGACGCCAGGCTCCGCAGCCAGGAGCACACAGCTAGCTCCGCCACACCTCCTGTGAGACCAAGAAACCGAATTTTTGTTTTTAACTTTCAATTTCAATGCTAGTGGCCACATGTGGCTGGTGCTCCCACACTGGACGACACTGAGGTGGACAACGGGAGGGGTTTCCAGGCCTGGAGCAGACTCTGAGGGCAGCTGCAGCGGCCCTGCCCTTTGTGGCACCAGGGACCGGTGCTCCTAGGAGCATCTAGCGCCTGAGGATCTGAGTTGGAGCTGAGGCGGTGATGCCGGCGCTGGGGAACGAGCGGCTGCAGATGCAGATGGAGCTTCGCTCGCTCCCCCACTGCTGCGTGGCCCGGGTCCTAACAGGCCGCGGACCGGTACTGGTCTACAGCCCGGGGGCTGGAGACCGCTGACCTAGAGGACAGGATCGAGAGGCGGGAAACTATCAGGAGGGTTCCTCCCACGGGGCCCACGGGGAGGGAGCAGGGGAGGACAGATAGGGGCGTCCTGGGGAGCGAGAGAGGGCACGAAGCTGAGGATAAGACAGACGCAGCCCTGACTGCTGGTGCCGAAGAGGCCTCGCCGTGCCAGGGGCCAGGCTGCCCTGCCTTAATACACAACTCAGCCAGCCCTGGAAAGCTCACCGAGGCAAGTGCCCATGATGTCCCCACTTTACAGATGGGAAAACTGAGGCACAGGAGGACGGGGCCTCCGAGGTCACAGAGCTCAGAGTGAAGCTGGGATGAGGGGCCTGTGCTCTTGGCTACTGCACTGCCTCTGGCCAGCCAGCAACTGGGAGGGTCGCACGGGAGGGGGGCCTGGACACTCGGATTGGGGAGCACCCAGCAGCTCAGAGGCAACTGTCAGGCAAGGGGGGCAGAGGCAGGACGGCCGGGCACCACGGGGCCTGGGGGACCGTGCTCCGGCGTCTCAACCCAACAGGGGAACTGTTGGCAGGTGTCATGAGGGGAAGGGCCACCAGATTGCACACGGAGCAGAAGCGGCCACCTCGTCAATCACAAAAAGAAGCCAGCAGACTTAAGAGAGGTGAGATTTATGTACAACTATCGGTGAAGTCCTGTGAGAAAAGGCCATTGTGCATGAAGCAGAGGCAAGTGACGTTAAGAATGCTGTAACGGGGACAATGAAGTGACTTAGTGATGGACACACTTCTGTGAGGACGTGAGCAGCGAGCCCGGAGTCACACAGAGGACGGCGTGGGCGACTGTTAATGAACGCACGCAGAGACACCCTCACTGCCCACACTCCTGACAGCTCGTCCTGAGCGTCTACAACTTGGGTGCCACTTCAGGGAACGCCTGTCGCCACCAGGAAGCCAGGGAGACGCACCCTGCAGACCTGCACTCTGTGAAAGGTGGTGGCGCCAATTCCAGCCGGGGCGACTGGAGGCACACGGACACCAGGACACTAGGGACACATAGATGCCAGGGCACCGGGGGCACAGACACCAGGGTACACAGACGCCGGGGGCACACAGACACCACCCCTGCGGGACGGGCCGTGCCTGGCATTCACTCAGACCCTGCTCTGTGATCCTGGCGACGGGGCGTCCCCCCACCTTCAAGGGCACTCGGGGTGGGCAAGACATAGGTCCTCGTGCCTCGACCAGCCTGTGCCTCTAAAGGACCCGCTGCTGAAAGGGGATGAATGGGCCCCAAGGAAACTTGAACCAGACCAGGCTCCAGACCGCCAGAACCAGACCGCCGTGCCCAGGCCAGGGCTGTCAGCACCGATGCCTGCGACACCAGAGGTCGGTGTCAGAGGTTCGCAGGCAGCGCTGGGGTCACCGCGGATAATTCTGAGCAGATTCCCAGGCAGTGGGCCGCACGGCAGGGCGCGTGCGGGGCCGGGCGCGTTCCGCCCTCCTTCAGTAACGCCCGAGGCGGCTGAGGTGCTGCAGGTCCCCCCGCCAATGTCCGCTTTTCCCGACCATGGCCGCCCGCAGACCGGCGCGTTTAAGGAGCGCGCTGCATGGCGTGCGGTCAGCGCTGGGCTCCTGGCACGTGGCCAATGCGGTGCGGCAGGCCGTAGGTCAGGGGGCTGCGACCCCCTAGAGGAGCTTCCAGGACAAGGTCCTGACATTGCGCCGCTCTGCCCACCGAGTCCCGCGAGGTGGCTGCACTCACGGGGGTCCCGCCCCCGGGCTCACCTGGCACGAGGGGCGCCTGTGCAGGCGGCTGCTCCAGGAGTACCATGTGCTGCAGCAGGGGGCTGTGCGCCGGCCCGCCGTCCCGCTCCAGGGGCGCCGTGCTCAGGTAGGGGGCGAGGTGGGTGCCGGGGAAGAGCGCCAGCCGCTGCTGCAGGCCTGGGAGAGCCAGGCGCTCGGCTTCCTGCTGGCCGGCCGCCCCCTGGGGAGGCATAACCGGTGACGTCCAGGGTTGCGTGCCCAGGAGAGCCCCCCGCCGCACGGGCCCGAGGATGCCTACTTACAGCAGAAGGGCCGGTGGCGGGAAGTCCCAGCGTGATGTTGGGCAAGGACGGCGACGTGTACAGGGGGAGGGGGGCCATCGAGCCCTCTCGCGTCACCAGTCTGTGTGCCAAGTTGGTCTGGAGACAGAATACACGATGGCTGTCACACGGTCTGCTATGGACAAGCGTGGGCATCGCACACCAGGAGCAATGACGACGGAAAACGCTTGTGGCAGATCATGTCGAATTGAGATACCGTAGTATAAAAACATATCAGCAGATCACAGCACGCAGTGAGTACCACGTTCCAGCGCAGGCCGTGAGTGTCAAACATGGGTTCACGACCGAACTCTCGTGTTTACTCAAACTGCTTATTCACCATAAACTATCAGAAAATACCTAGGGTATTACGTTTTAGAACACGTTCTTAGAGTTAGCAATGTCTCTCCAAACAGCATCAGAGGCAGAAACCAAAGAGGAAAAGATCGATGAAAAATGTCTTCTCACACAAAAGGCAAAAAATGGTGACAACTAATACGCACTGGCAACGTAAAGGACAGACAGAGGCCAGCACAGGAAGAGCTCACAACTACAACGATTAGCAGGAAAAGTGCACATCGGGGACAGATGACACAGAAGAGCCAGTTACTAAGGCAGAGTAAATCACGACAAAAATAATCGGCGTCGTCAGCAATGTATTACTATTAATTTAAACTTACTATTTAAATTATTTAAATGAAATAAAACTTTTAAAAGCCTATCAAGTTGGCGAAGGTTTTAATAAATGATGACAGCATCCTGACCCAAAGAGACAAACACGGTCCTGGTGAATTATAAATGGGCCGTGTAAGGGAGAGGGACACGGGGCCCCTCACGCCTCCGCACCAGAGGAGCCGAGCAGCCGGGCCTGGCCTCGGGGTGCATGAGGTTCCCGGGGAGCCACACACCACCTGATCGGGACGGGCTCTGCCGCCTGCACGGAGCCCCTGCACCCACACTTCCCGGGCGGCAGCCTAACTTACCTCACCGTGTGACTCGTCAAAATTCACACGAGATTTAACCTGGAACCATGCAGATCAACCCAGCAAGGCCTCCCTGCAATGTGACCCACACAGGCACATCTGCCCACCCTGCACCAACACCAGGACGGGGGCAGCTTCCGTGGGGACCAAGGAGCAGCACCGTCTCACCCTGGAGATGATCTCCGGGCTGGGCCGACGGTCATGGCCTTGGTCTGCACGAAAAGCAGGCTGCTGGAACTTCTACTGCTCTAAACGAGCACTCACGCAGGCTGAAGAGGGCAGGTCACAGGCGCTCACAAAGGTGAGAGGACGTGGTTAAGCGACCTAGAGCCCACTATGGTCTTGGCTCCGGAAAAGCCGCTCACACTCAGCGTCTAAACCGGAAGTGCAAGCCCTGAGCGGTGAGCCCTGAGCAGTGAGCCTGCGTTGCCCACTGAGGCCCGTCCGCCCTGTGGGAGGGCAGAGCTCGTTTCCACCTGGGTCAGGAGGGAAGTGAACGACTACATCCGGTGAGCCCACGCTCCTCCGCGTGAAGGGCCCGGCCGGCACTCAGAGGACCCCACTCGGCAGGGCCTCCTCCGCCGGAACTCAGAGGACCCCGCTCGGCAGGGCCTCCTCCGCCGGAACTCAGAGGACCCCGCTCGGCAGGGCCTCTGCAGCGCGGGCCGACGGCGCTTCTGGCTCGGTTCACTGCCGGGCGGCTCCCCACATGGGCCCCCAGCCTAGGGCCTCGGGCAGCCAGCGGGGACTTCCCTCGCCCTGCCCCAGTGCCGGTCAGCGTCGGCTTCCCCCAGTGACCATGGGCACCCATGTGGATGGAGGCAGGTCCCTGGCTGACCACTTGGCCCTGGGCTCCAGAGTCTGGCACAGGGCTGGCGCACAGTAGGTGCTGCAGATTCGCTCGTGGGGTAAATGGGGGGAGTGAAGTGAACGCGGGGGGCGGGAGGAAGACGGATGTGAGCGGCGGGGCTCGCCCCTGCCCCTGGCTCGGTCTGGTCAAGGGTGCTCCGCTGCCTGCCCCAGGCCCTCCACTGGCTGAAGGAGCCACCACCTCCTGGCCACCCTGCACCCTCCTCTCCACCAAACGCCAAGTCTGACGGTTCCTCCAAGAGAGTCCAGATCCTGCTCCGGAGCTACACCCGACTCGACCCACAGCACACCTGGGGCCCGACGGGCAGGCGCTGGGCCTGCGGTCTCAGGCTCGGGCTCATAGTTCCCGCGATGCCTCTGAGACGGTGGCCCTGGCAGTGACACCCGAGACACCCTAACTGCCCGCCTGGTGACGCTCCGGTCCTCCCTGACACAGGGACACTCTAACCTGTTTCTCACCAGCAGATTCCCACCTGCAGAGCCCTGGCGGCAGATGAGCGCCGCGTGTGAGGCCGTGGGGGGCCTGAGCGGAGCGCCCTGCAGAGGCGGGGCGGGGGCGGGGCGCGCTGCGCGGGCGGCCCTGTCAGTGGCAGGGGCTGGGACGGAGAAAGCTGCGTCCTCTGCAGGGCGCCTTGTGCTGCCTCCCTCACCCCGCCTGCGGGTCCAGACGAGGGGTGACCGCACTCTGCGGTCACCGCCAGCACAGCCCCGGCGGGCGCAGGGGTGAAGAGGGCAGAAAGCGGGCACTGACCTCGGCCGGGAGGCTGGGCATGGTGGGCGCGATGCCATTCTCCGCGCTGACGCTCCCGGAGCTGTTGTTGGGTGAGCTGGGGGCGGAGCCCGGGGCGCTGCTGCACGCGGAGTCTGTGGGCGAGAGACGTCGTCAGCATGTGTGGCTCCCGCGGCTCCTACGGGTCGGCTTGCGGACCGGCGGGAGCCCGGCGGGAGCCCAGCGGGAGCGCGCGTGGCCATGGCCCCCCAGGTCCCTGGACGCCCCTCCTGTGATAACGTGATAACGCACGTTATCACCCTTGTTCCTCTTCTGAGTTTTGAGATAACCTCAAGCACCAGAAGGGGAAGCCCTGGCACAGGCCAGGAACGCCCGGCCTAGAGCCGGGACAGGCGGGATGGCGCTGGCTGCAGCGGCCACCCCGCATCGCTGACTAAACCCTCTCATTCTGCTGCCTGACAGCACGTGTGCAGGGGGACGCACAGCTGGTGGCTCCTGTGACCCGCCAGTGCTGTGTGGAGGCACACGCCCGACCTTCTCCAGGTCACTGAGGGAACAGGCGGCCCGCCCTGCTTATGGGGACCAGGCTCGCTGTGACTGAGGAGAGGAAGGTGCTCTGGCCCCTGCTGCTGAGGCCAGTGGAGCCTCCGGACGCTCCACAGTGCGGGAGCCTGTGGCACTGTGCTGACGTGGGGTTTAGCTGCTCAGGTGTTCTCGTAGTTGAATGGCATTTGAACAACGGAATCATCTGGTTACAACCTTCCTAAGAAAGTGTAACGTGACCCACTGCCTTTCTGAGTGTCTGCCACCCCCAGCAACTCTGGGTCTGCAGCCCGTCCCCCACCTGGACTCGGCACACACGGGTCAGGAAGAGCTGGCCCCGCTGGGACATGCAGGAGGCTGAGGGGCGTTTTCTGTAGGCGGCCCGGAGGGAGGGCTGAGCCAGGCCACCTTCCACGGCCGGTTCCCAGCCAAGACTCTTCGAAGCCCTGGGTGTCCCCCAGCCCAGGGGGCACAGGGCTCACCCCCGCCACCCCAACCTCGCCACGCCTGCGGGAGGCTGTTCCCTCAGGTATGTGCGTGGGAAATCAGGATGACATTTTGGGCAACAAAAAAACATATACCCCACTTTTCATCTATTTTCAACTCAATAACATGTTTTTGAGGAATGTGGGGTGAGAAAACACAGATGCGCGATCCTCACGGTGTTGTCTGCACCGGAAACAGTGGAATAGCATCAAAGGTGGCGAGAGGTGCTTGTGACCAGCACCGAGTGAAGGGACATGAGGGTGGTGTGGCATGGACTCAGCTGTGACAGGCACGGGGGTGAGGGGTGGGGGGGCAGCCTGGAGAGAAGTGTGCCCAAGCGCTGACAGCAACGACCTCTGCACCGTGTGTACGAGCAGCTCGCTTTCTTCTGCTCTCTAGGGCAGACATGGAAGGGGGTGTGTCCCTGGGAGGGTGTTCTTCGGGCAGTGGGGTGCATCCCAGCGAAGGGACAGGGCCCTTGGGAAAGGGCTCTGCCAGGGGTGTATTCTGCATGTCTGCCACTAGGTGGGGGCCAAGAGCAAAGCACAGGGAGAAAGTGGAACCTGCTGGGGCCCGCCCACTGGCCCCCTGCAGGGGACGTGTGTGCTCTACGCAGAGGAGCAGAAACGTGACCCTCGCCAGTAGGGCAGGACCGGTTAGACCCCCTCAACCCGGAACCCCGCAAACACCCCTGCAGGCTCACAGCAACTGCCCTCCCCAGCCTGGGGGGAGGGGACAGGCTATGCAGGGTCGTCCCTTGGGGCACTCGCGCTTGGGCTCTGGTTCCGGGGGGCTGTACCCGGCACTGTGGGGGAAAGGCGCTGGGCCGAGGAGTACTGCAGGCTTCGGGCGCTATGGGAGGGGCGAGGGCTGGAGCGCATCCGTCCACTGTACCTGTGACGTCCAAGGGGCGCTTCTTCAGGGCGGCGGCCATGGGCCCGTCCTTCCTGCGCAGCAAGGGGCTGCTGCGCCTCTCGGCCACTTTCTGCTTCAGCCGGGACCGCAGCTTCAGGTTGGGCTCAGAGGCTGCGCGGAGAGAGGACCCGTCACGTGGGGCAGACACGGGCAGCCCTGCTGGTGGCGCTGGGGGTCACGCATTCAACCCTGCGCTCCAGGGCAGGGTCCCCGAGGCCTGTGGGCAGACCACCTTCCGTCTCACCCGAAGGATGGACAGAACGTGCCCACGCCTTGGTGGCCTCCCTCAGACACAGGATCACGTGTGCGTCGGCGGTGTCGCCCCGCGTGGCCAGCAGTGGGTTTTCAGAGCTTTGGCCACGACACTGCTACGTACCCGCCTGCTTGCTCACGGCCCATCAGAATGCGCCCCCAGGTCGCCGGCGGAAAGCAAGCTGCGCCTGGAGCTCAGCCCCGCCCAGACCAGCTGTGTGAGGGTGCTCCTACCGGCCTCCCCGAAGGGGTTAGCAGGTCTCAGCACCTGCGTGAGTGCAGGTGCGCACCTGTCTCTCCCAGCGGTCACCTGAGTGGGGCACAGGTGTTTCTGCCTGGTTTGATTTTTGCTAACAGCAGCTCCACCTGCGAGGACAGAGCCGTCTGCAGACCCGCTGCTCTGGGCCTACAGTGGCCCTCCAGTCCCCTGCAAAGGTGCCGCACATGCTCGCGAAATAAAAACGGAACCCTGCAACTTAAGACATCCACGTCACGGGGTAACACAGACAAAGGCATGACGTCACAGGGTAACACAGACAAAGGCATGGACGTCTACACGCTTAAGGGGGATGGCGTCTACTACTTAACTGGAGAGTTACAGGACACAAGGCAAAACAGGTATTTTTGTTGACAGCTACACACACTTTGCACACCCAC